TTAAAACAAAACTATATTTCGGACATATATGTAGTTGAAACCATTAATAATTTATAATGCGCACACTTTGTTCATATAAATCATCGTTCCAATCTAAAGAGGTAAAAAACATTTTCTGTTTAAAATTTTTGAATGGTACTTCCTATACGTCCTACGAAGAGACTATAAGTTTCATGACAAAGTAAAATTCCTAAATAACGTCACGAACTGCAAAAAATACAGCAAGCCTGCGTTGAACAAAATAGCTTCCAGTTATTCGATTAAACCATATAATAATTGAAAATTATTTTTAAAATCTTATAAACGTTATTTTTTATTTTGTAATGAACACCAATTATTACGCCCACAAAATATTTAAATATTTATATCTTGATGTTATGAAAGTACGAGTCAAAAAATCTTATTTTGTAAGTTCGTGTAAATTCGAGATCGAATTCGAAAGTATATGTAATTAAATAGTCAACTATCATAAATTATAATAACCATACTTTATCGTACTTTTACACACATTGTTACATTTAATCAAAAAATTGGTTTAATAATAAAAATATTTTAATATTTCAGAATTGTCTTTAGTATAGTAGAACCTTTATCATCTAAATTGGGACTACTCCTAATTTGGATAAGTAAAAGTTTGAATAACAGAATTTTTTTTATTTTAACACATTTATTATTATATTAAATTTGTTGCAGTTTTTACAATTATATATTACTTTATAATAAAAATAAAATAATAATTATACATTGGTACATGCACAAATTTAAGATTAATTTTTTTTTTTAAATATACGTATTTATTTTTTTATGGTGAATTTCTGATACACGCTTTTTTACAGCTAAATCTCGCAAATATACGAGTAAAAGTAATTGTGCTGAACAACATTCAGCATGCCTTTCATATCAGTCAAGAGCAATTCCAATCGAATACGAGTGCGTATTATTGTTTTCATCACTATCACTATCGTCAATTACTTCGTCCTCACTTTGAAATTTAATTAAAAAAATAATTTTATCATCATCTAGTACTTGATATCCAGGACTATTAACGTCGTTTGTTAATCAATCAGTAGTTTCGTCATAATAATAACTCTCAACCATTAAATCCTGGAATATCATTAAATAAATCAATAAAATTTTCGATATAATTTTAACCAGTTTCTATTTAGGATGACACAATTCACAATCTTGTCCATGCGTTTCGTAGATTTTTCTAGGTCAAATAGCCCCAGACATCTATTGTCATCTAGTAAAAAATGCTTTAAATTCGTTTATTTTGGAAATATACATATAGCTCACAACCGAAACGTGTTTCTACTCGGAGAATAACCAAACGTATGAATTTAAATGATGTAGTTTTGGTATTTAATAAATCAAGATTTTCTATGAGATTTGAAGTTTTTTGTAGTCGTATGCTATAAAAATAATAACATATCTTTATATCTTCTTTAAAGATGCGTCAGAACACTTTTTCAAAGTTTAAGTAGTATTTGACGAAATATTCTACAAAATTTAGTTTTTACAACAAGTTTGTTCAATAATATATGTTGAGGATATTAGTATTTTTTAAAAACACTTCGACCGTTCTCTAGAACATTTTCTAATAAATGTTAACAACTTTACAGAATTTAAATTGCACTACTCCAAGTCCAACAGTTTCTTATAGCCAAGACATGTTTCTACTCAGAAAGTAACAGGTTTTATGTTATTATTTTGACTTACAATATTTGTGTTTGATAGATCAAGATTATATTTACGATTCTAAATTTGTGTTTATAGTCAAATGCTTTAAAAACAATAACATATCTTAATATCTTCTCTAGAAAATTTTACAGACATTTTTAAAGTTTAAGTACCATTCGACAATGTATTAGTAATCTTAAAATTTCCGTTTTTACAACAAGTTTACTCAATCATATATAATAAAAAAAATAAATATTTTTAAAAAACTATTCGATCGTCCTTTAGAGCATGTTCTAATGAATGTTAGCAATTTTACAAAGTTTAAATCGCACCACAGGCTATAATGTCTTTGATATATTCTCTTGAACTTTTCAATTATTACTTGTTCTTTTATCTATGGGCTGTATCAAAGACGTTACATTTTGTGAAAAATACATAAATTAACAATTTTTATCAACTAAACTTAATATTTATTTATAAAAAAACTATAAATAAAATAAATTATATAATCGGTACACCGATTAAGCGTGTATGTATGTAATATTCAAAAGTCATGTACGCGTATTAACGTTTGGATAACAAATTGTTCGATTAAATCAATTGATATGCAATTACTTTTAGGCACTAGAGGGTTTGTAACGGAGGTTCGGATAATAGAAGTTTTATTTTAATACAAATTTTATTTTTTAATTACCTATTTTTATATTCAAAATATCAGCAATAAATTTCATTTTGAGCTTGATATATGTGTAATGTAATATATACTTAATTATAAAAAATTAAATAATTAATGTAATTAAATCAATACAAATTATAACTTTTCCGTTAACCGTTTTATTTTAACTAATTATATAGTAAAATATAACTATTTATTGTAGGTACCTACCTATAGTTTAAAGATAATTTGATAAAACTAAAATACTAAATAAATTAAGAAACTATGTTTTAAACTTAAAAATGGTTATGTATTATATAAGTTGTAATATGAAATTACGTATTATAATTCTAAATAAAATATTTATACTGAATGTTTAGAATTCAATGGCAAACTCTTACACTGAATCGTAAACTTACTTAATTACTTTACTTATGAAATAACTAAGGGACGACCAAACTATTCTATGCAATTTCGCACTATACTAGAATTGAATGCATATTTCAAGAATAAATTCTATAAATGTTCTACTTAATTTTATTCATAAGCGGAATATTAATCCAACAACTACATTATGCTTATATATTATTCAAAAACGTGCCATTTTATAAATAATGTACAAAAATACTATTAAATGTTTTTTTTTTTTTTTTTACTTTAAAACACTGTAGAGTATAGAAGTGTTATAATTAATATAACACTAATATCGGGATAAAATTAAAGAAATGGAAAACTTGTGAAAACTTTTTTATATCAAAAAAAGTATGTTTAAATATATACTCGTATGATTATAACTTTTAGTTATATATAGAACGTGTAAAGTAGATTACCTAACCGTACGTACCATTGTACCAACGTACTATATAAGTATAAATTAGTTTCTATACAGTTACAAGTAAATTATATTACTATACAGATTATTACGAGCTCCTATAAATCTTAATCAACAAGACTTTGATTTAATTAAAATTATTAAATCAAAAATTATCAAATACACTAAAATTATAAGCCACCATAATACCATTATATTAAAATTGATCAATGTACCTATATCCTATGGACCTTGGCGTTTGTTTATGCTAGATATGAGCATAAACTAAAGTTTGTGGGTTATGGATATCATAGTAGTCGGCTTATCGTAATAGAAAGCTATGAATATACAACATTGAAAATCTGTCGTCTTGGTGAAAATTTAGGTTTCTCATAATTAAAATAATATGGTAGTGTTATCCCATTGTCAAATCTTGTAGCAAATGGCCAATACGATACTAATCGCATAAATATGCCCCAAAACTTGTAGACTCAAGATTCAACAATTATAATTTATTAATGTAATTACATTTTTAATGCCAAATTTTAGAAAGATTTTAAATTTAAATGTGGAATAATATAAGATTTAATCCAATTTTAGGTTTGAGAACACAGAAATATAAATATCGCAAATGTTTAACCGAGCAAAGACCTTTAGGTACCACATACAATAATATTCAGTTAATTTTAGTAAATTTCAAAAAATATTTTAAAACCTAAATGCTTGAATATCTTGAAAATGACATACCTAGGATAATATTTTAATGATGCGCATATTACGTATGTGTTTATAAATAGTAGTATTTTTCTACAGTAAATTTCTTTTTTATTATTTTAAAATATTTACCTATTTTATTATTACTAGCTACAAAAATTAGTCACGAGATTACGATTTAGTATAATAATAAAATAAAATTAACAATGTAAATGCGTTTTTGTCTGCTTTATTCTGACATTAAATTATGATATAATCTTATCCGTTTTAATTTATTTCCATTTATTGAGAAATTAAGTATACCTAATTATATTTGAAATACTTTTGAATATAATAAAATAATATACGGTAGTATTATAAAAAATAAAATAAATAATAACATTTAATATTCGCAAAAATAATATTTTTATATTAATTAATAATTAAAATTCTAAATAGCGAATTATGTTTTAGTTTTGTTTTGTTTTTTAATAAACAATAGGCCAAAAACTTTTAAAAATAATATTTTTAATAAAATATACTTTCAAATTCTTAAAACTTTTTAAACATTTAATTAAATTGCATCAAATCCATAACTACGGCCATTGTCACTTTAAATCATTATACTCGTAATACGCTAAATTACTTCAAATTTGCTTATAAATGACAATAATTAATATTGGCTTAATATTCAAAAACATTATAAAAATAAATATATAGATATCTGGTATTTGGGTTCATAAATCATAACTTTCAATAGATTATTTTTGAAAAAAGTTTCTATAAATCATATTATCATAATAATTATATAATACTATGTAAAACATGTCATTTTTATTACTATTCGCACGTTATGTGTCTTTACATTTTTCCTCGGGACATGAATATAATATAAATTAATAACATTAATCAACAAAGAATTTGCATAATTTTATAACTACAAAATTCATAATATTAATGAACTTAACTGGGCTTAAATTGTTATTTTTATTTTCCAGACAATTATTAATAAATCTTTTCTGGTCATAAATCTCAATGATAATAAACGTATTGTATTTTTCATTGTGGTTGTTTTTAATGTGTTAATGCATAAATAAAATAGGTATTTTAAAGTACGATGCAAAAATAAAAATAATTAAAACATTGATATATCGTTTACAGATTACCCAACTCTATGCACACTATATGCTCCGACCGGCGATGTACTATTGCTATCAAGTTATCGTACATATTGCCGTTCATTATTTGCAGTCCAACGTTTCTAGTGTTCGAAATACTGGAAACGAGAATCGTCGAAAACGGCACTGTAGCTACGTTATATCATTTGGGCTTGAGTACAATAGCAAGAGTTAATCATGAATTATTGTACATGATACATCTGTGGACATATGCTGTGATCATCAAACTATTGCCTTGCCTAATACTAACCGTCGTTACCATATCTCTGGTAAGAGTAACTTGCCATAATATAATATGATTTCAATTATGAATGTGCAATTATCACTTTATAAAAATAAAAATATATGTATTTTAACTATTTTTCATTGGTAAGTGCATAACTTAAAAACCAGTTGGGTTAGTTGTATTTGAATTTTAGTAATATTCTGAAAAAACATTTTTTCGAAAAACCAATTTTGAAAAGTTATTTGTGAAAATTAAAAATTTAGAAAAAACTGAAAGTGCTTTTTTCGATAGGATATTTTTAAGATCTAGGGATTATATGTGTGTATTTGCTGAAAATTAGCATACAAATTAAGAAATAAAGCCACTCTCAAAACAACGTTTGCCTGGTCAACGAGACGTAATTAATAACAATCATAATCTCTTTAATTCAAAATTATAAAACTGGTATACATGAATATTATATCATTAGATAAACATAGGTACTTTGATTAATAATTGTTTAATCTTCCTAGTATAAACTTTAAATGAAAATTAACAAAAAATATTTGAATATAACATTTTTGTAGACCACCCAGACTGTATTAATTATTTACCACCGTATAAATAATATTTTTACAGCCTTTTTCAACTTTCATAATAATTATTCATGCATTTTTTTTTTTTTTTTTATAGACAACCGTTTAAGATGTGCAATTCGCCTGTTGCGAATAGCAATAGATAAGGTTTTTCATTACGTGAACCAATTACTTCCTCATATAAATCTCAGGATTCTCAGTTGTACATTTTGAATTTTTTGTATAATATCTGTTACCTGTGATTTCTGTTCTAAAATGTTAACGAATTATTCGATATCCCAAATAATATATCGTGTACAAAATGTAGTGGAAATTGGTCAATATGTATAAATTTACATTCAAATATGCGTTATTTAGGTATAACCCGACTAATAATATTTATATTTAATTATCGCTAGTTATTATAACCTATCCATTATCCATTTATTGTTTCCATTTTACTTTATATGAGATATTCTCAATAGTTTTATGGTCATTGTTGATGGAATACTTTTCTAAATATATAAACTTTATAACCATACAATATTCATCTAATATTTAAAAAGTTTTACTTTATATTATATTTATATAAAATTGTTTTATAAATGACAAAATATAATACAATACAGAAAATTATACTCAATCATAATAACTAATTTACTCTCTGTAACCAATGCATATAAAAAAAAAAGAAAAATATTAAATTTTTGTGAGCCAAAACAAAATTTATTTATGAACCACTCTATAAAATAAATAGTGAAACCAAACTAAAAGCTATTCGTGAGTCAAATGGAGTCTATTGGTATAGCTTTTATTGAAAGTAGTCCAGTAGTTATTGAGTCTATAAATGGCAAAGAAAAGAAGAAAGAAAAAATATTGGTTTTTATTAAAATAGATTCAAAATCATAATTATACCATTTATATTTACTTAAAGTTCAAATTTTAAACCATTGTAAACATTCTGTTTTAACAGAATCTTAAAATTACTTCTCTCAAATTAAGAATTAATTTATTTTTATTAACCATATGTAGGTACGTACAAACCATATTTTTTGACAATTATTTTATAACGTTGTCTGAAATTTACATTTTATATACATAAAGAAACCTAAAAAAATATGGTAATACCTACAATCGAAATTATCAATCGTGTAATTTTAAATTCTAGATAAACGCGTTAAGTGAAGCATCTGAAAGGAAAGCTAAACGACTTCCGACCCAGCAACAAATGGCTCGTATAAGGAATATGAAACTCAAAAAAAGGATGGACCGAACAAGCCGTATAATGATTGCAGTATTGTTATTATTTCTTGCAACAGAATTCCCGCAAGGAATACTGGGTCTATTAAGCGGCATACTAGGAAGGGGTTTTTTTCGAACTTGTTACAATTTATTCGGAGAGCTTATGGATATGTTGGCTCTCTTGAATGCATCGTTAAACTTTGTATTTTATTGCTGCATGAGCAAACAGTTCCGTGTAGCGTTTGGACAATTATTCAAAACTCAGCCAAGCATTATGTTTAAGCCTAGCAATATTTTGGAAACATTCGTATAGGGTTTGGAAGAAGGTTAGGAAAGACGGATTGAAACCGTGAAAATTAACCGAATACGGTCAATATGTCCGCTATTTAATCCTGATGGAAATTACGGGTAAGTTAATTTATTTTATAGTTATTAAATATGTATAAACATAAGCGTTAAACCAAATTATAATCAACAGCCAAGTCAATAGCTTTTATGATATAAACTTAAGTTGCTCAATAGTAATACATAGTACCTATATTACATAAATTATCTCAAATATGATAAGATGTCATATTTTTATCATAATTATTAATTAAATTAGTTTTCTTAATTTTTACACTAAATATAATTTTCATAATATTATATTAGGGAGAGTTTTTATAGATAAATACATTGTTGACTCGCAAAATTTAGACTGCATTTATGAACCTATAATATTTAACTATTAAAAATATTTGTTACCCAAAAGATATTTTTCAGTAAACACTAAAATATACTTCTGTATATAAAGTAAAATTGATGGTATGATAACTGCTCGATTTTAAATCATATTAATTTAAATAATATCTATTTAACAAAATCTACACATCACCCATCCATTTTATTATTATTTTTTTATAATATTCATTAAATGAATACGAAAAATGTTTTCAAAATAAAGATTTTTTTTATAATTAGGTATACATTTTTAATATTTTTTATTATATTAATATTTATAAAATATATATATATATATTGGTTTATAATATCATACATATAAAACGCATAAAGCTATATTATATATACTAGTTAAAAAAAAAAAAAAAAGATTTTAAAATACATGATGCTATAAATTTCTATGTAAATATTAAAAAAAAATGTATCAAAACAATATTTATTTTAACTCTGATTGACGTCTGCACTAAAATTATAATAGTCTTGATAATATTTTATTCGTGTGAAATATTTATTCATTTGTCGACTTTAAGCAAATTAATTAATTTGTTTAATTCATTATAAGTGGATTTTATTGCAACAAATAAAATTATTTAATCGAAAATAAATAATAATACTGATTAATTTAGAGATAAGAAACAAAATAAATAATTTAATATAAAAATTTAATAATATAAAATCAAAAAAGTAACCAAAACCATGTAACTTTAAAAAAAAAAAAATAAAACATTAAGTACTTTAAATATCTATAACGATAGAGTTTCAAAATGAATATTAATTAAGTAACTTGTAGAAGCTTCGAACTTATTTTTTTATGTACATAAAACCTCTTAAGAAAATAAATTACTAAAAATACATTGTTTTCATTGTGGAGGTTAAAAAAAAAATTGGAAGCTATTCAGAGTAAATCTCAATCTTTCCTTGATATTTTCAATTTACAAAATATTGTTTAGTCGAGACGTCATATGACTCCATACAATGCAGTGAAACTTTGTTTATAATTACTTAAATATTAAAACGAGCTATAATCGATCTGTGCAGCAATAATAATAATATTGTATTAAACTAAAAACAAAATTAATTGATTGATTTTTCTTTATTAATAGAGTTAAAAATAATTTAGTATTATAATCTTAGTATATTTTAGTAGACATTAAACATAAACATTTTAGTACATATTTTCCATACAAAATATTTTTTAATTTGTGTGACTTTTGACTACCTGAAATAATTTTTAACTGTTGAGCAATGATTGCTTTTTTTGTATTGATTGAAATAATAGGTAAATACATTTATTAAAACAGTTGTCAATACAAATGATAAAATATTCATAAGTTATATTAAAAAAAACAAAACCTCTACATAATTTGATAAAACATATTAATATTTTAATACATTTAAAAAAAAGTTGTCATTTGAAATATTAAGCACCTAGGTACTTCAAAATAATTTACCATCCATTTGTATACGTCAATTTTTAATCTTTGCAAAGTAAAATAGTTTAAATAACCCGTAATTTATGCATAATATACACCATAATACATTCAAAAAATGAATCTAAAATACTAAGAATAAGTTTATCAAACAAATATAAACTGTCAAAGTTAATACCAGAAATTTTTTTTAAAAAAATGAAATTTTAAATAAATGAATAAGAATAGCAGCCATTTACTATAAATAAAATGTATTAAAATATTTATAAAAATATAAAAATTATAATAAATGATAGACCTTTAATTTATAGTGCTTATAACTTAATAGGAATTTTGTTAACTGACCAATAAAAAATGCATTTTTATATATATTTATTTTAAAAGACATATTTATTAAGGTTTATATAAACTACATAATACTTACATTTAATCTAATATTTTAGGAATTACTTGATTAAATATATAGGCTTAGAAATCTAAACTTAATTCTACATTTTGAAATTTAGTGTTTTTAATATGAACTATGAAATGTTTCGTTAATAAATGTAAAATGATTGAAATAATTATAAAATATTGAATGGTATAACTTTGAATTTATATATTGTGCAACGTTATTTCAATAGATATGTAATATGTATTTTTTAACCTCACACACATTCAAAATATTTAATATGTTAAATATTAGTTACCTTGTGAAAAAAAAAAATAATATATCGATTTAATATTATATTGAATTATTTGTTTCAAACGATTTTCCCGTATATATGTTTACAATAATGTTATAATATAAAAATTACATTACTTTTTGTAGGTAATGTGTTTATACAATATGTTTAAATGAATAACAATATATATTATGTTATCGTGTCATTGTTTTATAAAATGTAACGTTAAATATTCATTCAAAATAATGTAAAAATATTTTACTATATTAAATTGTTATGTAGTGTAATTATTCTTTTTGATATTAAATTTATTGCAGTATGTTTTTTTCGTCAATCGACTTATATAACACATGAACGAACTCACAAAAAATCCTGACTACCATTCAGACAATTAGGCCTGTTCCCGAAGTCAGGAATATGATCGCACGTAAACGTTACCATCGTTACCAAACGTTTCCGTGACAAAAAAATACATCAGGTTAGCTGTCCAACGTCATCGGCTAAACCTGAACATAATACAATATTATTATTCGGAGTAAGTAAATAGCATTCCCGAAAAAAGGTCAAAATCATATACTGCGTAAATTGCAAACTTAGTATTTTTGAAACGTACATAAATTGCGTCCCAGGTCATTTAATAAAATAACCTTATATTACTTTAAAAGATCGACGAACAAAAATTAGAAAATTGAAGAAAAAAAATACAATAATAATTGCAAGCAAAAAAATTAATATTTGTTTAGATATGTGAGAATTATTGTATATTTGTACAAATATTTATCAATAACTTAAAATTATTAACTTTTAATAATATGTTTTTTAATTATATACAACATAAACAGAAATGTATTTTTACTATATTAGTTATAATATAATTATATTGTCAGTCCTAATTTTAAAAATGGAAAAAAAAATATTGGTTTTAAAAAAATACTCTTGGCGTTATTTACGCATGAATAAAAAAATTAGTCCGAAATTTACGTATGTATAAAATATACCTACACAAGCCACAATTAACAAAAAAAATTGTTAAAAAATGGGATGCAATTTACCCACATTATGAACGTACCCATATCTGTAATAACAGTATTTAAAAGGATATTATTCATTGGGACGAAAAATTAACCGATTGTCTGGATAAATTCATCTTACGTATGTAGGTACATACCGACAATCTTTAGTATTGGATCAAATATGAATAACTGCAGTACGTATTAAAATAAAAGTAAATATAGACTTAACCAAGAAAAATTATTTAATAAATAATTTAGAAAAAATAAACATAATATGTATTAAAGTATATTTTCATTTATAAGCAGTGTATATATCGTGTTAAATAATGCTATTTTCATACTTTGTCCAATACCATACAAATTGCACATAAACTCGCTTTATAAACATTTAAAAAAAAATAACTTTTAAGGATAAACAATTTTGTTGTAAATCGATAAAAATAATATGGTGATAATAACATTTTTAGCTATCTTAGATTATTATGTGATCATAAAAATTTGAAAAAAAAAATGTATTAGACACAAGGTACGTATCTATATAACTTTCGATCAAACTCTATATTATATAAGCTCGTCCAAACATGTTTTAGATATATAAGGTGTCTATAATATAATTTTCAACAAAATAATAATTAATAAACAAAAATTAAACTAAGCAATATGGAATTTTTGATTATTTTCACAGATAAAACCCATTCTTCTTAATACATAAACCTTTATTATTACACTGAACTACATCTCTAACGGCAAAAAATGGTTCCATAGTCACATACGTCCGATTGGTATCCACCTAAGCCCTGGATCTGACAACTACTTAATTCCATATATCATCATAACTTTTTTTCTTGTAGACATTTTAAAATTATGAAATAAAGCTACTAAAATGAAAAGAATCAGACACAAACAATTAAAACATGTATAATGATTGCATTTTATAATATATATATATTATATATTATTCCAACCATACAAATTCCACAAAACTATGTAAACGATTATACTTGTTTTATTGTATATATCAAATATATATATATAAAAATAATATTTCGTATATTTTTATTGTCACAATTATACTATACGTTTCAAAACTGAATAAAATAAAATACTTTAAATGTAACCGTGAAACGTAAACTGGTTCTAAATTGTTGGTTTCCGAAAGAATCGAATTTGGATTCACTGGAATTCAAAATAAGTACGCAGAACGTCAAGTAAGATATCAAAAAAAATAATAATGATGTACAAGTGTAGAGTTCCCGCAAGGCACGTCGAGCGTATTTGTAAAATTTAACTGGGCTCAACTTCTACAACGGTCGTAACGCGAACGCGTGGCCTTTTATAACACATAGTTTAACAATATTATATTCAGACGTCTACGCGTGTTCAATTTCGGAACAAAGTCTGCTGTGACTATAATCCATACTATGTTATAATTAATTAGATGCAATACAACTTTGTGCACGTTTAATATGCATGTAATACAAATTCACAGCTAAACATAGTATAGATGTGTGTTTATGTGAAATAACATGTACACAATATAGTACAACATTCATATAATACATAATAACTAGTTTATTGTGTGTATGGTGTGTACACCTATGGCGGTGCCAGCGTGGTAGGATGATTTTGTTGCAGTTGGTCGACAGTAAGTTTCCGCACATTTGAAATCAAAAGTCAGAAATGTTTGCAATTGTTGTATGTATAGGTAATGTGTTTATGGCGGAAGGAACAGGTAGACGACCGATCTAACGTCAATGTATACTGTATAATAATATTGTGTAAGTATAAACATAATATATTAATATGTGTATAGTATACAATACATAATATTAATAAACTATAATAATAATAATACGTCAAATACGACGTTGTTGATAAACTAAATTTGGCAAAATGGCGAGATTAAAGAAAACGTAGTGCTATACTGTGCCGTAAGCCGATTATACAATATAATACGCATGAATTGAAACAATAATTTGTCATAAAAATTATTATTATTAAACAAATATTTCTTCAGAAATATACAATTGCGTTGTCTATACGAATGCATTTATAACGAAATAAAATATATTATATCCTATTATAATATCACATTATTCACATTTGTACATTACGATAGCGTTTCTAAGAAATAATAAAATATCTCAACAGTTATACTAAAAATATCATAATCTGTTGCAGCAGGTGTATACCCATTTATTTACCGCCGCATATATTATTGAAAGTTGTACGTATTCCACCGTTATATTTCTCCAACGAAAATTAAAAGACATATTAATTCCTTAATTTTATTTAACGAATAAATAAATACATATTTTACAGCATTCGATGGATGGTAATAATAATAAAAATAATATTCAGGTGCAGTAAATTGTTTTAAGCATAAACAATAATAATGAATATCTATGGTTGCAAGGCTACACTCATTCAATATTCGTTTTTTATCGTAGAGCAAATTACGAAAAATAATAATCACACGTGGCGGCAATTACATGTTTTATTATTATTATTATTATAATTTTTTTTTTTTTTGGCACAGATCACATACGCACTTAAATGTAAGTTTGTAACTTATTATTGGCGCAAATTACAAGTACTGAAATTAGCGCAAAATACAATCTCCCGATTCGAATGGGAACCATCGTCGCTGTCGCGTGAATACGTACAGCGTATACGAGTACACTTGTGGGCATAAGCTTTACACGACAAACAGTATTATAGACTGTAGCGTTTTACGGTCATCGCTGCCTCGCGTTTTTCAGTCCGGGTTATAAGGTCTGCAGGTGATAGAGAAACTTTGAACGGATGCCAAATTAAAGTTTTCAGTACAGTCTACAGCAGCTACCTATCTACCTATACAGATCATCTAGTATTATCTCAGAGAAACTAAAGTAGAAAAAAAATACCACATTGTTTTGTATGAGATTATTACTTTACAAAGATGATAATGACGCGATTAAGCTCTTCGACATGATATTATTATACACGTCAAACTTTTACTCTTCCGTTTTCTAAATTGTGTGTTATTTATATTTTTTTGTATTTGTTATTTCAGCTGAAGTATAAAATTAACTCGTTTAAATACAACTGTCAATCGAAACTTAGTACGTGTACAGCATGTAATATTATTATTTAGTTATTGAATTTTCCTATAACTAGTTTTGATTTTAATTGAGATTTATGATTTGAATAATACATACATTATGGCCCAACCGTTTCATATATTACCTACGAATATACCGAAATTAAGGGAATGCCATAACCCATAATTACTTTAGTTAACACCCTACTGAAATTTAGAATGATATTAAGTAATATGACCGTATTAAGGATGAATCCCCTATTTATGTCAAGTTGAAATGAATGTGACATTTTTAAATTGCGTTAGTACGCCATAATCATATATAGCTAGCTACTCAATTGCATATTTGCAAATTTATACTTAGAATACATAAATAAAATATGACATGTTACAAATTGTCAATGCATAACACAAAATTATGTTAATACTTCTTATTATATCTCTACTATTACAGGAAAAACTATATAGGCTCAAACTATTGAACGAATCTATTTCTGAGAATAACACAAGTGTTTATAGTTATGAATACATTTTTTCATTTGTTTATTATGAAAATTTTATTTACATATTTTGTTGTTTTAACTTATAAGTTATGAACACATTTGCACATTAATAATAAATAACGTAAAACATGAACAGATAATAGTAATTTTTCATATAACTATCAACAATAAGTTATAATGGTTATTTTAGTTTTATTATTCTTATGACTATAGTGTGGCATAATAATAATTACACTGTAAAATAAATGTATAAAAATATAATTAAAAATCATTGTACATAGCATGTAAAGTTAGATTAAGTTAAGGTAGGTTAGGTTAACCTTTTTGCAAATGAATTCATATAAGTCAAACATTTTAAGGAACTTCAGATAGATGATAATTATGTGCTCATTTTGATTAAATTAATTGTACTTAAGAATTTTTTCGATAATATTTAAAGGTAATATTATCAATTATATAAATAATTAAAAATTTGTCATTCGACACATAAATAAAGTTATTTCTTTAATACTCTTTTACATTACTGCGTAATATAAATAGTTCTTGACAAACAATTTTATTTGCTAACAAATAACTTAGCCATTAGAGCAATTGGTTGTAATAAACTAAAGTTGTTTGTTATCACTTGCCAATTGCACTGTGTATAATTTATAACTCTGTTACTAGGCGCAATACGTTGTACTGTTCTATTTTTTTACTTATCATAATAAAACTTTCTAATAAAAGTAATTTATAATAATACAATAAAACTTCCTATAAAAAACACGTTGATCATTTTCATTATAAATTTCGAACAATTATCAAGGAATGTGAACTGCGTAAATATAAGTCTACACTATTTAATGAAATTAACTATTATAGTTTATATTTTTTATTTTAATGATCAGTCATGAAAATGTAAGTACGTACTTCGTCGAAATGGGTAAAAGAAAATGAACATGTCTTAAAAACTTTGATATCAACTACTTTCCCATCGATTGGTGTTGGAATAAAAAGGCCTAGATGCTAAAATAATGAGCGACTAGTCCATCGTCTAAAAATATTTTAATTT